CAAGACCTTTGGCGCCAAGCGCACCGGCTTGTCGGCGGCAGGTGGCAACGCTGCCGCCGCCATGGTAGCCTGAGTGCGCCACATTCTCATTCCCGGTCCGATTTGTAGTCCTCCCGTTTCTCCTCTGTACTTTCTAGTTCCTGCGTCACAATCTCGATTGGTTTCTAGTCATGCTTTTGTCTGTCAGGGCTGATATGGCTGCATTCCGCCGCAGTGCGGTTGGTGTGAGGTTGAAAGAGCATAGGGAGAGCGCCCGCTCACTTGGATCGCTTGTACACCTTTTCGAGGAAAGAGCGGAAGACGTCGCGACGGAGGCCCTGTGACTCGGGAAGGCTGTTGATGAGGTCGTTGATCTGTTGGTACGACTCGGCCTCGTACTTGTGGAAGCGTGCGGGGAGGTCGATGTTGGGCTGGTTGTAGATGTCCTTGACGCGCTTTTCGCACTCCGAGTCCTTCTTGCCGTAGTTGTCGTCGAGGATCTGGCGCTGTTCGGGCGTTGCGTTTTGGAGGGCGACGTTGATGTTCCAGGAGCACTTGTTGTCAAAGATGTCGGTGCCGATCTTGCCGATCTGTTCCGGGGTGCCGTAGCAGTCGAGGAAGTCGTCCTGGACCTGGAAGTACTCGCCCATGGGGAGGAGGATGTCGAGGGCCTGCTTGTAGAGCGACTCGTCGGTGACGCCTGCCATGCGCATGGCGAGGGCGACGGGGAGGTAGAAGGAGTAGAAGGCGGTCTTGTAGACGACGATGAGGTGGTGCTTGGTGAGCGAGAACTTGGAGAGGTCGACGACGTCTTCGGGCGCGGTGATGAGGTCGATGAGCTGGCCGAGCTCGGTCTGGAAGGTGACGTCGTGGAAGAGTTCAAGGAGCATGCCGTAGTAGGGCTCGGAGCGGAAGTGCTTCTTGAGCAAAAAGTAGATGGCGGCCTCGAGCATAAAGGCGTCGTTGATGGCGATGTTGCCGACGCCCTCGACGCGGTACCAGCATGGGTGGCCGCGACGGGTGACGCTGGCATCCATCATGTCGTCTGCGACGAGGAAGTAGGCCTGGAGGAGCTCGATGCACCAGCCGAGGATGGCGGCCTTGAGGTATTCGGGCTCGGTGAGCTCGCGCGAGAGCTTGCCCGTAGCCGCATCGGTGCAGAGGAGGATCTCGACGGTGTCTACGACCGAGAGGCCGCGGTTGAGCTTGCCGCCGGGGGTGTTGTAGTCGAGGTTGCGACGGAACCACTCGATGGCCTCTGCGGGCATGTTTTCCGAGGCGAGGTAGGCGGTGAGCTCCTCGACGAGGAGCGGGAAGACGGCCTCGAAGCGCTTGCGCTTCTGGATTTTGAGCTGGGCCTTGTCGGCCAGGACCTGAGCGTCGACGGAAGGAGCAGACATGGCGGCGATGGTTGCGATGCGGTTGCGTGTGGTGGAAAGGAAGAACGGCGGCGCCGGTGCCAACAAATCGACCAACACTCTCAAGTCGACTTGCGAAGATGTGATTGCGCTGCGCTGCGCTGCCCTGCGTGTTGCTTCGCTGCTCTTTCGGGCGGGCACTTGGACAGCGGCATCAGAATGGGGTGATCTTCGGTCGGCCCGCCCGCCCGCCTGTCGCGACGTGCTTTCTTCGCAAAGTGATTCTCCAAAAAAAGGCAGATTTGGAAATGTTACGCCGCACTTTCGACCGTCACAGCGCGTTGCTTCCGAAGCTGAGCAGCGGAGAGCAACACTTTCGGAAAGCGCACACTCCACCTTCTTCCGGCTCGCCCTCCTTCTCCTCCTCCTCCTCCTCCTCCTCCT